GCGCAAATACATCTCTTGTGTATACCAGGCAACTGTGGTCAAATCCATCTGTTCCGAGGACGTTCTGGGAAGGGCGGCTCTGTTAAGATTTACTATGTGCTTACTGATATTTAGGTACACGTTTTTCTGACCATTCTTTTCTGAGCTCAAATAACCTTCATTGGATCACTACTTTCTTTGTTCCATTCTTGTATAAGAGCACACTGAAACTGAAGTCAGGTTGTGTACAGCGTCAGACTGCCCATTCTTTGAGTTCCTCAGATCCCAGGTCCAGCCGACAAGAACTGCACCAGTCAGCCCCAAAATTCAACAATGATGGCTATTTTATTTAACAATTACTTGTTTTGTATGTGTCTGTGCATGTGCGGACATGTGAATGACATGGCATGGAGGTCAGAGGACAACCTGTGGGAGTCAGTTCTTTTTCTCTGCCAACTTGGTTCTAGTAACTGAACTCAAGTCTCAAAATTGGCAGCAAGTACCTTTATCTGCTGTGCTGCCTTGCTGGTCCCTGAGGGTTGGTTTTGTCAACTTAGCACAGTCTAGACTCAAGGGATTCTCTAGAGTAGGTTGGCATGTGGGGACATCTGTGGGCAATTATTTTGATTACATTAAAGGTGGGAAGACTATTTCATGGGCTGTGCCTCAGGCTGAATAAAAAGGAGCAAGCCAGCTACACGCATGCACACTTCAATCCATTGATTTCTGCTCTTGCTGTGGTTGTAACTGTCTGCTTAAGGTTCCTGCCTTGATTCTCCCATGCTGAGAGAATGTAGTCTGGAACTGTGAATCAAATAAATCCTTTTCATATGTTGCTTTTATCAGAGTATTTTATTGAGTAACAAAACTAAGACAGCAGGTGTGGTGGTTTGAAAGAAAATGGTCCCCAAAGGGAGTGGCACTGTTAGGAGGTGTGGCCTTTTTGGAGTAGGTGTGGCCTTGATGAAGGAAGTGTGTCACCGTGGGGTGGGCTTTGAGTTCTCTACACTCAAACTACTTCCACTGTCTGAGACCATTTCTTGTTGCCTTCTGATCAAGATGTAGCCAGTGTAGGCCCATATTTCTATATGGTGTGGCAGCCAGGCTCTGAAGCCATAGACCCACCCGAGACGGTCACGCAGACCTGCAGACAGCCTCAACAACAGCCAGGAGGTGCTGCTCCTTCTCTGTTATAAATGTAGATGGCCTGGGGAGAGGTGTTTGCTGAAGCTGGTGACCTAATGGTCAGGAGGTTTGGGGCTCCTTCCTATGTAATTTGGAGAATATCTTATAGAGATGCTAATTCAGGCCTACGTGACAGCTAGCATACTTCAGCAGACAGGTAGATGCAGATGTGACTAAAGGCCATTCACCTGGTTACCTAGGAAACAAGCCTAATGTATTTTCCCCGCTCAATTTATGTGATGGTATATAAGCTGTTTGGATAATAAACGCGGGAGATGGTCAGGAGAAAGAACCCTGAGAAGCCCTTCCATGATGACCGTGTATGTTGCGTCTGATTATTCCTTGCGTCTCCGTTTCAGTCCAGTTAGGGAAAACAGTTATCTGTGTTGGAGCGACACGGGCCCCAACAAGCCAGCACCATGTCTCCTGCACACCACTGCTCCCTGCCATGATGATGGACTGAACCTCTGAAACTGTGAGCCACCCCAATTCAATGTTTTTCTTTCTTTCTTTTTTAAAAATATTTATTTATTATGTATGCAATATTCTGTCTGTGTAGATGCCTATAGGCCAGAAGAGGGCACCAGACTCCATTACAGATGGTTGTGAGCCACCATGTGGTTGCTGGGAATTGAACTCAGGACCTTTGGAAGAGCAGGCAACGCTCTTAACCTCTGAGCCATCTCCAGCCCCTTCAATGTTTTTCTTATAAGTGTTGCCATGGCCATGGTGTCTCTTCACAGCAGTAGAAACCCTAACTGAGACAGCAAGCGAGAGTGCATCTTATGGAAGTGTCCCTGTGTGGTGGGCGGGCACAGGCTACATGCCATGTGCAGCTGTGCATGTCTGGAAGAGATTTTTCTACATTAGGTTATTCAATCTCGAAAATTAATTTGGTCATGATTTCTGGGACAGTCAGGCATGTACCTGTGGACAAGGATCCCTTGGCTTGGTGAGAGTGTTTGTATGGACAGGGGCATCAGAATCCAGGGACGGGTGTCTAAGCCAGGTGAGGGAAGTGGTCCTGTGGAATGGGCTTCTGGGCAAGGTGAAGGATAGCTGACGGATAGGTGGTCTGCGCTGCACAGGGACAGGTTTGATAGATGGCTCTATTATCAGCTGTGGGAGTGCGGGTGGGTGTGACAGTGCCACATAGAGTGTCTCCCTCCCCCCGGGGTTTCACGTGGCTCAGGCTGACCTGGAAGAGGATGAACTTGAAATCCTGAACCCTCCAAGAGCTGAGATTATAGACATTTGCTGCCATACCTGGTTTGTGTCGTACTGAGGACAGAACCCAGGGCTCATGCTAAGCAAGTGCTCTGCCAGCCCCATGAGGTCATGTCTGACGGGCAGCAGTGTCCACTACAGTGGAGGGTTTACTTGTGGATAGGTGTGTCTGAGCCTGGTGGGAACACGTCTGTGAGGAAGGATGTCAGGAAGCTAGGTGGACGGGCATCTTCTGGTATGGGTGCGAGGCAGAGGCACAGCCTCTGATGGGAACACCCAATCAGGTCTTACCTTGAAACGGCGGTCATACTTAGTGACTGAGTCGGCAAAGTCCACTCGTTCCCTTTTGGCCAGGAACTGGCGCAACTCAGGCCGCTCCTCCAGCCCCAGATAGTCCCCGACAAAATTCCGGTTAATGCTGTTTCGCCTGCGTTCCTTCTTGTTCAGTAGGATGTTGGAAGCTGCAAGGACACATGTGTGGTTAAAAGTCATGGCCTCTCTTTAATCCTCCTGCCCGCAGACCAAGCCTCCTAGCAGAGGCTCCTCACCTTCTTCCCGCATCTCCTCGTACTTTCGGACTGCTATGTGGCGCCGCCAGGCTTTCTGGATGGTACGGGCGAAGCCATCAAACTTCCTCTCTCTCATTTCTTCCAGGAGGAAAAGCTGGACAGGGGGAAGGGGTGTTGGGTTCTGGCCTCTCCCAAGGCCCTGAGTCCCCATAGAAGCCTCACACTTGCTATGCAGCCGAGGACAACTTTGAACCCCTGATCCTCCTGCCTCTACCTCTGAAGTTCTGGGAGGACAGGCATGGACACTCACACCTGGTTTAAGGGGTGCCAGGGATGAAGCCCAGGACTTCGTGCATTCTAGGGAAGCACTCTATCAACTGAGTCCCATTCTCCCCATCCTCTTCATGACTGTACCCAGAAGTCCTTCCCACTTGGGGGCTCACACCCCTCTGCATTAGAACAGGAGTGCTGTGATAGACAGAGATGGCAGGGCAGTTAAGAGCAGCTACTTCTCCTACAGAAGAGCCAGATTCAGTTCCCAGCACTCATGTCAGGCAGCACACAGCCCCTGCGACACACTCCAGCTGCATGGGATCCAACATCTCTTCTAGCCCGTGTGAGACCCATACATGCATAGTATTCTCTCCTCTCTCTCTCTCTCTCTCTCTCTCTCTCTCTCTCTCTCTCTCTCTCTTTCTCTCATACACACACACACACATTAATAAAATTAAATTAGAACTTGTTAGTCTCAAATCCCAGCTCAGCCAGTGGTCTGCTCTGTGTGTGTGTGTGTGTGCGCACGCACACACGCGTGCATGCCTTTGGCAGGCCAGGGGTTGATGCTGTGTGTCTTCTATTTCTCTCCAGCCTATTTTATTTTTTAAATTATTTTAGTGTGTATATTCTTGTCCACATGTACAATATGTGCATGCAGTGCCCTCCGAGGGCAGAAGAGGCATCAAGTCATTTGGAGCTGGAATTACAGATGATTGTAACCCACCATGTGGTTGCTGGGAATTGAACCTGGGTCCTCTGGAGGCGTAACCAGTGCTCTTAACTGCTGAGTCACCTCTCCAGTCCTCTACCTTAGTTTCCGAGGCAGGGTCTTTCTCTGAACCTGGGACTTGCGGATGGGCTAGCTGGCCAGTGACCCTACACTACTCCTGTTTCCAGCAGCAGGGTTACAGGTGCGCCTCCCCAAGCCTGGCCTTTAACATGAATTCTGAGGACCACGCTCAGGCTTGCACGGCAAGCACTTTCCTAACTATGCCGTTTCTCCAGCCTCGAAGTACTGTTGAGAGCAAAACTGGGCTCTGCTTTTTAAAAAATAACCAGGTCTTGTGGAAATAGGTTGGTGGATAAAATATCTGTGTCCAAGCCTGAAGACTCACCCCAACAAGAGCAAAATTCAAATCAAGGGTCAGGGGATAGCTCAGTGGTGGCGTGTGTGGTTAGCATGGGGAGGCCTTGGGTTTTATCCCAGCACCACACACACACCTATCTGGACAAAGACTGATTTTTATAATTGCATTTAAATTGCCTTTTTTTGTTTTTGTTTTCATAAAACACAGTTTTTCTACATTCTTATCCCTTTTTCTTTTTAAAGGCTTTATTTTTTGTTGTTTTATTTTGTTTTGTTTTTTTGAGACAGGGTTTCTCTGTAGCTTTGGAATCTGACCTGGAACTCACTCTGTAGACCAGGCTGGCCTCAAACTCACTGAGATCCACCTGCCTCTGCCTCCGAGTGCTAGGATTAAAGGCGTGCGCCACCATCACCCAGCCTCCTTTTAAAGTTTTAAGGTTGCATTTATTTGTGAGAGTGTGTGTGTGTCTCTGTGTGTGTGTGTATGTGTCTGTGTGTGTATATGTCTGTGTGCGTGTGTGTATGTGTCTGTGTGTGTGTGCGTGTGTGTGTGTATATGTGTCTGTGTGTGTGTGCGTGTGTGTGTGTATGTGTCTGTGTACTGCTGGTATGAACTCACAGAAGCCAAAGGACAGCTTTTGGGAGTCAGTTCTCGCCTTTTGCCAAATTCGGATGTCAAGCTTGGCAAGAGGCTTAATCCTCTTAGACATATCAACAACCCAGCCTTTTCTTTCAGCCATTTTTTTCTACTTTTGTTTTTCTTTTTAAAAGATTTCTTTCTTTTTGTTTGTTTTTTAAGGCAGGGTCTCACTGTGTAGCCCTGGCTGTCCTGGAACTCACTCTGTAGAGCAGACTGGCCTCGAATTTATGGAGAGTCTCCTGCCTCTGCCTCCTGAGTGCTGAGATTAAAGGTGTGCACCACACAGCCCGGCTTGTTTATTTTTAAATTTAAAGATTTGTTTTTGTTTTTCAAGACTGTCCTGGAACTAGCTCTGTAGACCAGGCTGGTCTCAAACTCACAGAGATCCGCGTGCCTCTGCCTCCCGAGTGCAAAAAACACACGACTCTCTGTGTACCACGTGCCTGCAGTGCCCAAGGAAAGAAAAGGCATGGGAGGCTGTGAACCAGGACGTCTTCTGCAGCGGCAGTGAGTGCTCTGAGCCATCTTTCTAGCCCCATCTACCTTTGTTTTTCCACTTTCATCTTACTAAAATTCTTTTCATCTGAGTCAGTCCCCCACACCATAAAAATATTTCGTGTTGGAGCTCAGTGGTTAAAAGAACTGGCTGCTTTTCCAGATGACCCCGTTTGTTACCTAGTCTCAACATGGCAGGCAGCTCACAACCGTCTATGCCTCCAGTCTAGGGGATCTGACGCCCTCTTCTGGCCTCTACAGGCACTGCATGTACATCATACGCAGACATGTAGGCAAAGCATTCATACACATAAAATAAGTAAAATCTAAAAAGAAATCTATCTAATCTGCCTATCTATCTATCTATCTATCTATCTATCTATCTATCTATCTATCTATCTATCTATCTATCTATCATCTATCTATCTATCTTTTTCTTTCTTTCTTTCTTTCTTTCTTTCTTTCTTTCTTTCTTTCTTTCTTTCTATCTGCAGAATCTTTCTACACGGCCCTGACTGTCCTGGAACTCACAATGTAGACCAGGCTGGCCTCCTGAGTGACAGCAAGCTTAAAGGGATGTGCTACAACACCCAGCTGGTGCACACTTTTAATTCCAGCATGCAGGGGGATCTCTGTGAGTTCCAGGCCAGTCTCGTGTATGTAACAACTTCTAGGCCAGCCAGGGCTGCATAAGGAGACCTTATCAAAAACAAAAAAACTTAACAAATAATTCAGTCTCTTTCCCCCCCCCATGCTGATAAAAACTGAACACAAACTCATCATGTGTCCATTGTTCTCATCTGGTCCATTTCCTCAACATCAAGTTCTATATGTCAAAATTTTTGTCTCAGTTAAACCTTCGGGGGACACTAAGCTGCGTGGAATCCCCGGCTCTTCTGCCTCAGCCTCTAGAAGGCTGGGATTTTGGAGTTGTGCGCCGCCACACCTAGCAATGCATATATTCTCCCTCCCTCTCTCTCGCTGGAGACGAAACCCACGTTAGGCAAACGCTGTGTAACTGAGCTGTATCCCCAACCTCAACCTCGTCCCCCTTTCTCCCTCCGGCTCTCCTCTTCCTGTTTGTTTGTTTGTTTGTGTGTTTATTTGATTTTTTGAGAGGGTTTTTTTTTTTTTGGTACTCCTGGCTATGCTGAAACTCACTCTATAGACCTCAGGTTGGCCTCGAACTTGGAGATCCACCTGCCTCCGCCTCTCTAGTGCTGGGATTAAAGGCGTGCTCCACCACTGCCCAGCTCCCTCTTTATTTTCTTTTACTCTTATACTTCACCTTTTAAAGTATGTGTGTGTCTGTGTGTGAATGTGTGGATGTGTGTGTCTGTGTGTGAATGTGTGAATGTGTGTGTCTGTGTGTGAATGTGTGTGTCTGTGTGTG